AAATTTTTATTCCTTCTTGTACAATAATACTGTTATACTTATTTTTGGGGCAATGTCTTCTTCCCAATCTTCTAGTAATAAGGATCCGGCTTGAAAATATGCTAAACTAAAAAATTTGAAAGATAGAAATTGTGTGATATGCTTGCTCTGTAGAAATACTTATATGGGTGGTATTTTTCGACAAAAATAGCATATAGCTGAAATTTCTGGGAATGTAAGAGCATGCCCACAAGCTACAGATGATATAACAAAGGAGATTAGAGAATATTTGGATAGATTGAAAAAAGATAAAGAGATGAAAAAAATGAAAAGAAAAGAACTACTTTAGGGAAGTCAAGGGCATTCATTAATTTTTTAGTTAACTGCCCAACAGGTACTTTATTTGTTAAGTCTGTTGATGCATCAGACAAGTCACATGATGCTACATACTTATGTGGCTTTATGGATGAGATTGTCGAGTTTGTTGGAGAGCAAAATGTGGTACAAATTGTCACTGACAATGGTGCCAATTACGCTGCAGCCGGGCATTTATTGACTTTGAAAAGGACGCATATGTTTTGGACTCCTTGCGCAGCTCACTGTGTTAACCTTATGTTTAAGGAAATGAGTACAACATCTTTATTTAGTCGGGTGATTTCAAGAGTTATGTTTGTTGTTGAATTTATTTACAATCACACCATAGTTCTAAGCATGATGAGGTCTTTTACAAAGAAAAGAGAATTAGTGAGACCGGGTATCACTAGATTTGCCATGTCATTTCTCACTTTTCGAAGCCTAGCCAAGCAAAAAGTGCCTTGAGGACCATGTTTGCTTCAGAGCAATGTAGTCAAACCAAATGGTCAAAGCATAAGGGTGGGAGAAAGGCTGAAAAAATTATTTTGAATACATCTTTTTGGAGTCAAATAATTCTTGCATTGGAGATGGCTCGCCCTTTAGTGAGAGTACTTCAGATGATTGATGGTGATGCGAAGCCCACCATGGGCTACATACATGAGGCAATGACTAAGGCAAGAACTGAAATAAATGATGTTTTAAAGGATGATGAAACTATGCGCAAGGCTATACTTAAAATTATTGATAGGAGATGGGATACCCAGCTTTACAGGTACCTCCATTCAGCCGGTTACTTTCTAAACCCATCTCTTCACTACAAGCACCCATCCATTGAGTCAAATCGTGTAACAAATGATGGGTTCTTAGATGTGCTTGAGAGGTTGGTGCCTGACAAAGATATCCAGAATGAGATCTGGAGCCATGAATTGATTAAGTTCAAGTTAGCCTTGGTAAACTTTGGGAGAGATATTGCTACTTGAAATAGGGACACTACAGATCCAAGTAAAGGCCAAAAGTAACCTTACTTGTCTCTGACTTTATGTATAGTTCCACTGTTTATTTGTTTACCCTTAATTTTTATCTATAATCTAAATTATAAAATATTATACAGCTGCATGGTGGGCATTATATGGAAGCGAGACACCAAATCTACAACGTCTCGTTATTCGAGTGTTGAATATCACACTCATCTGGTTGTGAATACAATTGGAGTGCATTTGAGCATGTAAGTTCTTTACTCCTTATTCCTTAATCTTTATTTCTTGAATTTCAATTTTCTAATCTAAAATGTAATTTATTTAATTTCAATTTTCTACCATAGCTCCATACAAAAAAAAAGACATAGATGGGAGTAGAAAAAGTTGAATGATTTGGTTTATGTATGGTATAATGAGCGGCTTAAGGAGCGGTACGAAAATCGCACGAAACTCAACCCTATTCAATTGTATGAAGCTGACGGTGATTCCACAAGTGAGTGGATCATGGATCCAAAACAAGAGCGTGTGTTTAAGGGTGAGGATCTTACATGGCTTGAAGTCGAGCTAGCAACAGGAGCTAATGAAGAAGATCGACTTAACACTAGAGCACAAAGGAGTAGAAGAGCTGCTAGGTCTAGCCGTACTCGTACATTAGCTTCAGAGGTCGAGGAGGAAGAAGCTGACTCAGAAGAGACTGAGGAAGAAGAATACATGGAGGCCGTTCAGGATGATATTGATGATGAACATGACGACTCTTAAGATGACTTCTCTGATTGATATTTGAAATTTTGACTCCAAATTTCAAAATTGACTCTCAAAATGGATGATTGTACTAAGTTATTAACTATTAACTCATCTTGCGCTTGACTTTTGGTTTGTAATATCACTATTTTGTGCTTATGGTTGTTTATGGTTGTGCTTATGGTTGTGCTTATGGTTGTTGATGGTTGTGCTTTTGTGCTTATGGTTGTGCTTAAGGTGCAAATTTGTGCTTATGGTTCTTGATTGTTGAATGTTTTATGAAACTAGTTTCAAGTTTCTAGTTTCTATCAGGGAATAGTGGATAACTGGATACAGAATCTCCGACAGCTAATAATTTTGAAGTTAATCATGAAACTAGAATACTTCCTATTACATATATCACCTCCATACTTTTTTCTATGCATTAACCTATTTTTTTAGATTTTTTAGAATTTTTTACATTTATTGACCACATCGTCGCGATGAACCCGCATCAGGGCCGCATCGAGCTGCATCGTCACATCGGCCCCCCCACCGCTTTTGGCCACATCCCGCAGTTTAAAACACGGATGAAATTCAAACTTCATGCAATGATTTTCTACAATAGCAATAAAATCTGCAACCATATGCAATCAGCCCATTTTAAGGTTAAAATAAAATAAAATAAAATAAAAGCTCTTACCTCTAATCTGCAACTTGAGGATAAACATTAACATGCACGATATAATAAACCCTAACAGGAGATAAACCCAATATTTAGGGATACAACTTGTTTTGTAAGGGAATATATTTTTTTTGGAAAATGATATTGTTGTTTAGAAGAGATAAAAATGGAAATTTCAGAAAATAAGAAAACGTTATTGAACTTTCCAAAAAATCAAAATTTAGAGGGTATTAATGGAAAATTTTTTTTAAACCGATTTTTTAAAAAGATTTCAATATAATGCGTTTTAGACTTCTTTGCGAAAAAAAAAGCTTTTGTTTTTACGATCTTTCATTTTACTTAAAAACTCTGATTTTTGACAAAAAACGCGTTTTAAACGGCAATTTGCTAACCATGGGTATAACACAAATTCTACTACAATCTAGAGATGTGTGAAACACTCTCCACTCATCTCTCACCATAGTGAATCTGTCCTGCCCCAAGTTCTGTTAGAAATATGCTACATGATCGTCATTCTTTTATGTTCCGAGGCAAAAAATCTTCACTCATTTGTGTATCCACATTTTACAATTCTCAGCATTTGTACACTCATGGTAAACATGGTTTAATAAGGTAATTCCATTCTTGCGGTCATGCAGTCACCAAACTTCACCATTCAGAGGACATTTCTTTTGATATATGAAGAATAAAATTAGCATTCCCCATAAAATTATTTAATAGCATTGGAACTTAGGGGTGAATTCCCCCCATAGCATAAAATTTGAAATGAATACATACAAGGGAAAGTAGGCTTAGGTAGGCTGGCCATATGCAGTGTAGGCCTAACACAACACCGGTTAGGAGGGTGATTTGATTCAAATGGAAGGCTTTAAAAGAACAAGGGGAAGGAAAGGACATGGATGAAAGTAGTGGGAAGAAATATCGTGACTTATGGTCTGATTGAGTGTATGGCCCTTGATAAAGCAGAATGGCGGACCAAGATGGGTGTGGCTGACCCCAAGTAGTAGGGATAAGGTTCGGATGATGATGATTAGGTCACATATTACTGATGGCACAATTTGATGTTGCAGCAGCGACGTAGCCATCACATTTTGTGGTGTGCTTCTTGGCTTCCAACTTATTGGATAATCACTTCCAAACATTGGTGAAAACAAGAAACTATACATAATGACCTCGAGACTGTCATTATATGCCAACATAAACTCGATTAGTCTCAAAATTCTGTAACTTGCCTGAACATGCGGCTTCAAAGGTTTTTGAGTGAACTTATTTACTTATCCCAATGTAAGTGACGCATGCAATGTGCTTCAAGATGTAGCCTCTAAAAGCTTTTACTAAATCATTGTCCTATTTAGGTATACTCATTCTCTTAATTCCTAAAGGCTATATCAAAATCTTAATCCTTTCCAAGAGTGTCCTTTTCCTAGGAAAGAAACAAAAGAAAAATCTTAGTCCTAATCAGGAATGTCATTTCCCAGAAGTATCTGATGTTTCCTAACATGTCAAAATGATTCCAAAGCCCCTTTGGAGAGGCAAGTGCACCGAGTCATTTATACCCAAGATAATTGAGACATGGAAAGTCTACGTATTTTCATCCATTTATCAAAGAGAAATCTCTGTTGATGGGTCTATTTCAAAGCTCAAATACCCAAGATGGTGTGCCACATGCCATACAGCTGTATAAATCACTCCAAAGAAATCACGTCTACTATAAAGTGGGTTCTAGATGCCCCAAAAACAACTATCATGCTGAACATGGCTGCATTATTAAAAATAAATAAATAAATAAATTATAGATGATGTTTTGAATGAAAATTCTTAACAAGTCCCTAGGATCACTTGGCAAACAACAAAAGAGCAAGTCCTTACAGATTCTCAAAAGCCAAACTATAGGGCTGCAGTCAGTTCATCAGAGAAAAATGCTTGGAGTCCTCAACCCCATGCTAATGGCATCGAAATTTTTCTCGCCTATTCGAACAACCAAGGCAGGCATCTCAAGGAAAGGGAACTAGTAGTCAAAAAATTAGGAAGCTTATAGCCAGATTGAGTCACCACCTGACTCGCAGACAAGCCTGAGTGACAATACCATTAGTAACAGACAACAAAACAAAGACACTTGCAAGTATGAATTTGAAATCAAAGATTGATAAAAGACTAATTAGTATTTATTACTCAACTATAAAACATCTAATAGTTTTTTCCTTGCTTCAATTTTTAACAAGAGAAATATAAGTCAAATCCCAAGCCCATATATACGTGAGTCCCAGTTGACCAGTTCAGACCAACAGGTTTCAAAGGGATCCCAAGCAATAGCCAAGGGTTCAATACTCAAAATATATAAAAGACCAACAGCTGGGGCCACAGAGTAGTGTCAGGAAAGAGAGAGATTTCCTTTTAAAATGAGAGAAGGGGATAATGGGTGTGAAGGTAGTAAGTAACCTAAGACATCCATGCTGACAAGAAGATCACCATATAAAACAATCACTCCTTCAACCAATACAGACTTCAGTAGAATTCACTTCAATACACGAATTATCGCAAAGGAAATCATTCTTCAATGGGGGAAAAACCCATACCTTCATAATTGTATCTAGAAGGTCCAATCTACTTGGGTGTTTTACTTGTTCTGAAACTCCAACCAACTATAATCTAGTTAGTCATTTCCACAAAGTCAATTTTCTCTTTGTTTGAGCTTGGCTATGGGATAGTCTCCCTCCCCATTTTCGATAAAGCAAACCAGGTGCCACAACATGAGGGGTGTATCCACTCCCCAACAGACAGGAAAGGTGAGAAAAGGTGCGAATGAGTATCTTCTCCTCCTATATTTTGGACTTGACATGAGATGGCAGGTACACCTTTGGAAGCATGATGCACTTTACTCTGGGGAAATTACCTGTGATGTGGACACCTAAGGCCTAACCATTGAAAGGGATACCTTGGTTTGGCCATTCTTTTCATGTAAGGCAATGCAAATGGTAGGAGCAGCATTAACTTTGAAAATTCAAAACCATTTCCAAGCACTTGCGTTACAAAACAAGATGGTTTTTATCATATTAGATGATATATAATTTCCACCAGGTGCTTAAAACCACTGACAGTAGGGTACTGTTTCACAACCTTTTACTGAGTATGACCAATTGAATTCAGAATTGCACTGCAAGATCATGTCGTCTGCAACAAGCTTAATATAATAGCTTTTCTCAATATTTCATGTTCACGACCACATAGATGGGTATGTGTCTTCTGAAATTTCCAAAAAACAAACTTAAGAGGAAAAGGATGAAAAGATAAATCAAGAGCAAAGAATGGATTGGCAGTTTCTCAGAAATCATGACTATATTGCAAGCATGAAATGAAACTTGAATCTGAGTCACCTGAATGCTTTGACTCCGTTTTTCAGCTCTGTATTTTCCAGAATGTTTCTAGCACTAAAAGGAATACCTGTACCATACCATGGACAAAAGAAATTGTTAGCTAGGATGCCATCCATTCCTTATACAGAAATTATTTCAATGAAACTAACAATCAATAGACAGAAGCTTTACAAAATGGCACTACAAAATCAATGAATCACATTTTATTCTGTGATGAATCTGAGAGGCATCCAACCAAATATAAATGGATTTGAAAATTCATTTAAAAATAAAAGGGAGACAACATTCAACTGTGCATAGAGAAAAGAATAGGTACTGAATGTGGTTTTCTCATGTGAAAGAGAAAATATTGCACTTGTTGTGCTAATATATTTTATTATACAGCATTTTGTTTGCATATGAGTTTCCGAAACCCGAGAGTGAGTTACTTGAGTGCAGGGGCAGTTAAGTGATTTGACAACTTATACATCTAGGAGTAGACGATGCTACTGCAGGTGGATCTTCTCTAACTAATCAAAGTATGAAGGACAATCAAGTCTCCACAGTTACCTTCTTACTTGCCTCCAAACAATGCCTCCCATTGCAGTGGGTTCCGGATTTCTCTTGGATGCCCCATCAAAGTTCAACTATATAATCTCCGGGTTGAGAGGGGATCAGAACATTACCAATTTCAGGACATGGGGCGTAATGTGTATAACAAGGTTCCAAAATACACTGGGTGGCCCCGTGGTGTCTAAAGCACCAAGCATCTTAGGTGCCCTGAGGTGTTAGATATACATATGCATATATGTGTTGCTCAAATGCACATATATGCCCAAAATGCCCCCATAAAATGGGCCTACAAAGAGTCCTTTTCCATCATTTTTATATGGCAGCTTGACGCTCACCGACCATGCATTGGCGGGCACCTGGGAACTTACCTGCCCAGTAACTTCCGTACAGAAAGGGCCCCCCAGACCTAGGGCCTAGGTAAGGCAGCCTATCCTTGGTACACAACCTATCACCAACAAACTTACAAAATCCATCCACCCACCCACCCACTTAATGGAGCTACCCTGAATTTTTCTCCTTGAGAATATCGACCTATAACTTTACCTTGGAAGTATGGCTATTCTTCTCCTTCTCACATGCTAGACTACAAATTCACTTCTGACTTCAGGGGCACATATAAGCACCCCCTATAAATCTCCTCCACGAAGCTAGTGTTACCCACTCAAACAACCTCTATTTGCACACTGCTATACGGCAACATATGCATGATGAGTATATGCCCCTACTAGTGCATATGCCTATTCCCCAAAGCTTTATAGATGATGACAAATATATATGCCTATTCCAAAAGGAATTAAGATTGGGATGGAGATCTAATTCCAAAACTAGAAAGCTTTGGGGAGGGCACTTCATTATAAATAGACGGGAAACGAGAGAGGGAGTACATTCTCAAGCAAGCCAGCCTCCCAAACCCCTCTCTCTTTTGAACCACTCCATACACTCCTTCCTCTTTCTCTCTCTAAAAGAGAGGCCAGAAAAGCTTTTTCTTTCTCATCCTAAGAGAGGCCAGCAAACTCTTTTTCTCTCTCATCCTTTCTCTTGAAAAGAAAAACCCTAGAAACCCAAGTCTTGGCCTAGTTGCAAGGATCTCACAAGTCAACTCCATCAAGGCTTGAGGATTTGTGTTTTGTATACGAGTTTCTAGTCCTTGTAATCAGGAGACTGGCTTGAGGTTGCAAGCGTCACTCACTAAAAGATTGAAAAGAAGTACATCCACAAGTGACAGAAAATGAAATCCCCAGAGAAATGTGAATTTGTAAAAAGCATGTAATCTCTATCCGATCTGTGAATATTTTTATAATTAATTTTATATTTCTGTTGGTCTAATAAGGATAAGGACCTTAAACTTTCCCTTAACCCATCCCAAGCCTAGGTAAAAGAGGTGGGTTGCGTTAGGTAGGCAACCAGCATAAAACTTTGCCACACTTATCATGAATCCTAAACCTATGTTATATGCTCATGCTAGGGCATTCCCATTAAGCGACGTGCTGCACGACTCTAATGCAGTGAGAAACAAACAAGGGTTAACTAGAGCATTTCCCCCGAAGCGACATGTTGTACCAGTAGAGAAGAAAGGAGGAACAAGATTCATGTAGCCAATCCCAAATCATTGGGATAAGGCTTGGATGATGATGATGAATTTTGTATTTCCATTGTGTTGTAACTAGCCTAGAGAGCCAAAACCATGTACTAAGATAATCATCTTTTCAAAGAAGAATGAAGGGGCAGATTTGGCTCTCCGAGAAAAATCAAGGGGAGGAGATAAATGTTTATTATCCATGACCATCAATCAGGCTATCAAATACAGGTCCCTACAGTATGAAGCACTAAGAATGACTACAAAATCAAACATGCCAGAATGTAATATCCAGAAAATATAGCAAGAACTGCATTTAAGAATTTATTAGGATGAAAAGAAAGCATACACACTTACCATATTCTTGCAGAACTCTCACAGCTAGTGCACTAAATCCACAGCGTGGAGCTTCAGGAACTCCTTTCATGTATATCATTATATGGTTTCCTTTAACATCCTATACCAATTAGACAAAGAAATATGCATAAATCAAAAAAATGGCACATGCCTTGTGAAATGCTCAAAAGGATTCCATCAATTTGGAAGCAAAAAAAAAGAGTTAGATAAATAATTTTGTACATACGTTCTCCACAACCTCTTGAACAGAAGAGCCTGAATTTGCAAGCTTGTTCGCAGGTCGGAAATCCTCATGACTGTCGGGATCACCAGTAATCGTTGTGGACCATTGCCGACCATATTTGTATGCTGAATTTATGGTTCCCTGCTTGTGTATTCATATAAGTCCAAAAAAGGAGTTGAAAGTTCACTAATTTGATTTCAACAGCTAGATATGTGTGCCTAATGAAATAGTGCAGGCTACCCACTACCCATCATATTCTACATGAGCTGGAAAATACACATCACACTCAACAACTAAACAAAAGGAAGTGCCGAAGAGAGGCTTCAGAATAAGATGGTCAATGCAATTGAATTCCATTAAAAGAACTTATGAAAAAGGAAATTATGAGTTCCGATAAGAAATAGTATGGAGAATTTCCGACATTCAAAGGAAGAGATAACAAGCACGTCATTGTCCTCAATTTTTAGAGACCAATTCCACTTTACGGTTACATTCATAACTGATATACTTCTCTTGGAAGACTTTCATCCGAGATGTTTCTGTCAAAGAGATTCAGTCCGAAATACAGTAGATGATGTTTTGATGAATATCTCTTTCCTCATGATATCATATGATGGCTTAAAGAAGGGACATAAGTTAGAATTTCTGCATATGAAGTATTAATGATATAAAATGGTGATCGAACATAATTCTTTCAAGATAGTCCTTTCAAGATTCTTTTGCAATGATGAGGCTGAGACAGATATAATGAGTGGCTTAGGGAGAGGGTCTTGAAGCGCATGAACATAAATCCAATTGTGTTGGATGAACCCAAGGGTATAGGTGACTGAACTGTAGATCCACGACTAGTGCAGGCATTCGAATCTGAGGACCTTACTTGGATGTTGAGCAAGTTACAGGGACTGGAGAAGAAGTAAGGCGTAGCACTAGATCACAAAGGAAGAGAGTTGGGTCCGCATCGTCATCAGTTCCAAAGATACAGGAGGATGAAGTGTATGTGGAGAAGGGTTATGACACTGATGATGATGACCGTTCAACCTCGAGTTCAAATGAAAAAGATAGATGAGATGGATCATCATATGACTTATCTGATTAAGAGTTGGCACATTGAGCTTGAGTGTTTTTATTAGCTTTTATATTTCATCTATTATGAACTTTAGGTCTTTGGACTTTCAAAAGGTTGTGGTTGTGAGGCTGGGGTCATGAACTTGTGATTGTGAAGTACTTTGTGGTCTTTAAATGTCATGATAAATTATTGATAATCGTTGCTATTGGAATGGAAGGGATTACAATATATTATATGTAAGACAACAAACTATGTTACACTTTATCAAACTATCAAGCTATCAGGAGACTCAAACAACTAATATGTTCGAGAAACGTACTAAATTATTATCACATAAATCACACATTTCTGTTTTCTAATGCATTCTTATATTTTTATGATTTTCTACTTTTTAAAATTATCGTCCGCATCACATGCGATGCCCGCCTGCCTCAAGACTGCATCAAACCACATCCTGCATCGAAACCCCAACCACATCCAATCCATATCTCGCATTTGATCATATTTTGATCCCAATAAACCAATACAAACTACTACAAACCCTGGTACCATAAGGAATCTGTGGTTGTCAACTTTCCATGGCTTATGGCTATAGTCACACTTCAAGTGGTGCCTACAGTAATCAAAGAGGCATACACGACTCTAATAAGAAATTAGACTTGATCATGATAGGTTTGCATCTCATGCATATATGCTGATAAGACCACGGCATGTGGCAGTTTGCCCCTTGAACCAATTCTCACAAATGCCCTAAATGAATTTGAGCCAGATGCCCTTCATAGCAATAAACAAAATATCAGTTACCGGCGGCAGATGTCATTTATTTCATAGTCACTAGATTAAGAAATGAATGTGGGAAGTGAAGCAGGAGTCGGAAGTGAGAAACACAGCCCAAGAGAAGTAGGGCAATAGGAAACAAAGACACGTGAACAAAGTGTTCAAAAAATCTGTTAGAAAATCAGGGCGATATGTCTGGAAGAGTTCCAAATTATATGGGAAATTGACAAACACACAAGGAAACTTTTGGGATGCGAACAGAAGGTATTCGAAAATATATATTAATGAGGAAACATTTGGTTGGGAAGCATCCCAAAATGTAGGAGAAGCTATGGGGCAACCATGAGGAAGAGGACAAAAGGGTCTTGCATGCAAAGATTGCTTATATTCTATTCCTCAATTAGTGTTATTAGATAAGGGGAACTAGAGGGAAGAGGATGGGATACTTTCTTCTCGATTAAATGCAGCTCTTGTTTATTTTTATTTTTATTTTTATTGTTTTTTGCGTGGTTTCTTTTGTTTTTTTTTTTTTGGGGTGTTTGGCAGTAGGAATCAAACTTGGGATTCAGTGGTACAATCAAGTACAATCAATAACGACTGCTAATCAAATGATCAACACCAAAGGATTCCCACAAATATATGGGCAAACTCAGATGGGAGTAGACACAGGAAAACCACAACAGCTATATAATTATAACATGTCAATAATGCCTCTTTTTTGACATGTATGGAATCCCTTTTCAAGATGCATCACGATACTTTAAATTATAAGGAAAATAGTAAAAACAATTGAAGAGCTCTCTTGATGTATACAATTTAGTGTGAAACAAATCTTCGCTGAAATAATGCAGTTTTTTTTTTTTCCAATTTATTCATCTTTTTTTCTTTTAATGGTAAAGGACAGTTTAAAAAATCATCAATGCAATAAGGAATCAGCCAATCCCGATCAGATTGGGTCATGGACCACGCAAATTCCTTTACCAAACAAAAACTTAGTCCAATTATTACAAGCTCAGCCCATTCTATCAAAAGAACTGGGAATTGCTTGGTTCTTAGATAATTGGGTGATCTTCCAAAGTTTTACTATAGCCACTTCTTCTCCTTTTCTTGCAAATCCGCAATTTTTGATCACTCTTCCTCATTTGTCACCTATTTTATCATGAATTTCTCTCTATCTGTTTGTTTTGAGTCTGTGAAAAGTTATGCAACTTTTATGAAGCAAATCTGGCGAAGATTAAAATAAATCCTTTTTTATTTCATATTTTTTGGCCCAATCTGCCATTTCAGATCTTTCTCCCTCATTTTTCTCCAAAATTTGTCTTTGATTTCAAATCTGAGTAAAGTTTTGGGGAAATTTGAAAAACATATTCAAGTCCACCATTTTTGGGAGGATTTTTTGCAGGGGAGTTGAAAACCGCAGGGCAAATCTTTTGGGAAGAAAAAAATCTAATTTGATTCTTTTGAATTGGATTAAATTAATTAAATAAAACAAATATGTTGGACCCTATAAAAACTTTTTACTGATCTAATCTGTTTGAATCAGATTAAATCTCTTGGAATCTGTTATTTTTTCTCCAAAATAGATTAAATTATGTTTTTTTTACATATAGAAAACTGCTTAAATCGATTTAAACCTGTTTTATTTAATAGATTCAGATATCTTTACTTCAAACAGATTTAAATCCATTTGATTCTTTTCAAAATCTTTGAAAAACATAAATAAATCAATTTATACAGATTTGTATCTGATAGTTAACTGAAAAGATGAAATAATTGCTTTGTTTCAGTTTAAATCTTTTTTTTTTTTTAACCCAGATTGCCTTGAATCAGGCGATCCAGATCGGAATCGCTGATCCACTCAGTCAAGCAGGACCGAGCCGGATTGTGATTCCAGTTTTTTCAACATTAGTACAAGACATCTAAAGGGGATCCAAATGCGCTAATGCAATAGTTAACAGCTATCTATATGTGAGAACAAGGTCTGCAAATACAACTCCAACCCAAACAATCTACAAACGCTTGTGGAAAGCATTACTAGCACTAGATGTTTCAGCTAGTTTCCATGTATAACAAATAAGTAACCAAACATTTATTTTTTAAAAAAAATGAAAACGAATGAATACCCCCCAATGTGCAAAAAATTCGAACAGAGCATAATCTTTTATATCATACCATTTTCACAAAAGGAGTTGGCCGCAACTGTTCAATGCCCTTCAAGACCATATTCGATAATGATCTAGCCATGGTAATATGGATGAGTACTTTTCTTACAGATGGTTCACCTGCATTTTACAACAGTTTCAGTTTTAGGGAGAGAAGTTTCTCCGAATTTTGATCGAAAATGAAACTGAGCCATCCATTCAGAATAGTATGAAAAAAAATAGTATTCTCAGTGTTTAAGTGCACATCTATGTAACCATTCATGAAGCCTAGAATTCAACAGTAAGCCTAGGAAGCCCAAAAATGTATGGGATAGCACAACGTCAACCATCTCAAAAACGCCACACCTTGCAGAGCAATTTAAGGTTCATATGTCTAGGCATGAGAAAATTAGGGTTCCTATGTCTAGGAATGAGCAAATTAGGGTTCATATGTCTACGCATGAGCTTCTTAATGGGGAAAATTTAAGGAAAAGCAATAACCAAAGGAAAAACAATTGCTGAAATACAAATGAAGCAACTAAAGATGAAAGCAGATCAAATCTATCTAATGGTAGGCATTGATAGAGGATCAATGAAGAAACTCACCGGACGAGGGGCTTTACTGAGAAGGAGGGCCTTCTTTGGTTCTTCTTTAAGAGGGATATGAGCAATGTTTTATAGAAGGGTGTGGTTTGTATAAGGTTGCAACCTCAAACAATCCAATTAAGGCGCACCTCCAAATTGTATCTAATTTTGGTGAAAAAAATTATTGAGATTATTTTAAAATCTATTTTTATACCTAATTATAAAATTTTAAAACTTCAAAAATGGTTAAAATCAAGTAGATCCATAAACATATGAAAATTTTGAAAACGGATGGTCTAGATAATATATGGCAAGATGCATTATTTTTTAGATTCAAAATCCTTTTTTTTTTTTCCATATTCTTACATATCAATATCGGGATGACCAATTAAAGGTTTTTTCAATATTAAAATAGCCTTTCTCGATGAATTTTTGAGGTGCATCTGTAATTCCACATTTTAAGATTGTAACCTTATATAAACTTTTTCTTTTATTTATAGAATGCTCGTGGGCGTGGCAAAGCGTTGTACTTGGCAAAGTAAGCTACGATGTTAAAACGCATTTTTAAAAAAAGGGATGGGCCGGTTGATCCGGGCCATAGAAGCATTTCGGATAGATGAAAGGACCTGGGTTTTATGAGTCCCCCAATTCATACTATTTTCATGCGGGCTCCATTGAGCACCCATTATTTGTATCGATCTTGGATCCGAATTTGTAGTGATCTATAACCTACACAATGATGAACATGAATATAAAAAATAAAATATAATAAAACAATATGTTAAAATATTATTATTATAATATTTTCCTATCCATTGGATAGGAATCTTTAGTTGGGGATATTCAACTTAAAGATTGATGTTTGTGATTGTGCGGGCTAGTGAGTCTGCTGACTCACAAAACACTTTTCTTGATGAAATGGCTCTTTCGGGCTAATCTGGAGCTTAAAAAAGTACAAAAATAAAATAAAATTTTTGAAAAATTGTTTTTCGGATTTCAAAAAAGGGGATATTATGTTATAATTTTTTTATTTTAAATTATTTTAACAAAAATATATAAATATTGAGAATATCTTTCTTATGTGAGTGCTTATTAACTGTTCTATTAATTTGACAATAAAAATAAAGTTTAGAATGCAACTGATTACAAACAAATGGATCTATAAGAGGATGCAAATATCAAGAATATGATTAGACTAAAATGAATGACGAGACGACTCATAGTTGCTTGAATCGTCATTCTCGCTACGAAACTGTTGAGATAAATAATCGAATCGATTGATGTATGAGTTTGGGGGTTCAGATTCTTGAGAACCTGGCTGATTATACTACCTCTTTGGTTTATGAACGAATCAACTATGGTGAACCTCTCTCATAACCCAAAATTCCTAAGGTTGGTCCACTCCTCACTTTCGCCAGCACCTTCATGCTACTAGAGCTCGTGCTAGTAATCTCTTTGCTGGGACAAGGAGCATCATAATCATCTCATCTCACGTCTCTCCCCATCTCCTTCTCTGTTTTCCTCAACAGGTACATGACCACCTGCATCTTCTTAGAAATGCATAAATGCTACCATATCATCTCTTCCTCCTTGTTTGTCTTCACATCCTTTGTAACCTCCCTCACCCATTCCTCAATAAATTCTCTCTTATATACCAGTGACTCTTCTTCCACTACCTACTCAACTATATTGGTAACAAATAATGCATTTAGGTCAATTGGATGTAATCGTCCATTTTCCTCAACTTCTGCTCTTGGAAATTCAAATTATAATGAGCATGGACTAGCTTTTAAAGCCTCTTTAAAGTAAGTGGGTCCTCATAAGACGAGGCAACAACTAGAATATTCTTCAGTCATACTCGCACCACTTAACTAAGCAGACTTGACAAAGCACTTTGAGCATTATCTTGCTTAAGTGAGATAAGCCAAAAGCATGTACCTCCCACCATTCAGCTAAACTAAAATGCAAATGGCATTGAATAATTTCCTAATGTAAAAGATGTGAAAAGGAGCGTAATTAGTTAAAAGATAACATGGATCCATGTCAATTGAGAAGCACTAACAGATCTCTTGCAAATAAGACTTCCACGCCCTTTATATATATCTAAAGCAAAGACAAACACACACAAGTGCATAAAGTCAAGGAAATTCCTACATTGGAAGTTAACTCTTCACTCACTTAGTATTCTATATGGTTCATATGACTTATCTTTAATCTTCCGATGCAATATCTCACCCCTTCCATGACTTTCTTAAGAATAACATGCGTCAACTAGAAATGTTTGGATTAAAATACGAACATAGACAACACAAAGAAAGAAAAACTATTTACCATTACAGTGATGAAACATTTGAATATTTTAAAAAAAATAAAGAAGTACTTACCTGCATAGTGAAGTAGGTGACCCAAGTGATTGTTCTACCTTCTCTTAATGATCTTCACCACTTTCTATTGACAAACTTTAATGCTCTTGAAGAATACCTAGGTAAGGAGCTATATGATGGATTTCTTGTCAGCAGTCACCATCCTTGCTACTATCACTAAAGGACTTATGGGCTCCATAACACTAGCACATCTAGACCAAAACCTTTTATTCGTATTATATCATCTACCTGCACTCCCCTAGAGAACTTAAGAGGCAGTTGTTCGATCACTCTTCAAATGTAACCAACCTCTTCAACTTGGCTTGGGACTATAAAATAGAGTCTTCTGCTAAGTTGTCTGTCCTGAAAGCATGTGATGGCAAGCCTGATCAGCTCCTTCTTAACAGTGTGTTGTTTCTTTAAGTGAAGGAGTTGACATGGTTATAGACGAATTTTATAACCCACCTCATCCATCCTAGAATCTCCTTGACAACTTTGATATCTCATGTGCAACAAAAACTCTAATTTTTATTGATGCATATGTCCTTATTGATCCTGTGTTAGAGGAGCAAGCACAAATCGAATGAACGACAATGGAACAAGCACAACAATGAGAGGAATAGTCCAAACTTCACCGAAAGTGAATGGACGATGACTCCATTTGTAAAATATCATCAATGCACTCATATTCCCCATCCATGTATGGATCTCTATCTATTGCACAAGAAGTATAGAATGGGTTGGAGATCAAATACAAGATTAAAGAGTCAGGTAACCAAATGCTTTTTATTTCTAATTATGTTAATATTAAATTCACTAAAAATAAGCCATTATTCAATCAAGTATATGAGTTACAACTTATCATAAGTGAACTTAAAGGCTGTGGAGTGGAGTGGAGTTGAGTGAAGCTTTCCAAGTGGGAGCTATCATTTATTAATTACCCCCATCATGGAAAGAGTGCTAAAGAAAATGAAACATAAGAAGGTTGATGTTGATCTTATTAAACTTAAATGGCCTCTTTGTATTGAGGAAGAGAATGAGCTTTGGGAAATGAAAGATTTGGCCTTAGAAAATCAATTGGCAAGGGACTTTCAATCCAAGGCAAACCTTGTAGAGCACAAGTCTAAGGATGAGGCTCAAGGCAATAAATATTTATTCCCGAGCAATAAAAAGACATCTCTAAGGATAAAAAGTCCAAAAATATATATTTACTGCTTGTGTGGAAAATTAAGGCACTACTCTAAAGAGTGCCACAAGCGAAAAAATGTTGCAAGTTCCTTAAACAAAGTAAACTTAATAACCAAGGAAGAAAAATATGTGGCTATGATCACTAAGATGAATATTATTGAAAATTATTCCAGTTAGTGGGTAGAAACAGGTGCTACAATCCCTATTCATAACATTTGAGATTATTTCAAGACCTATGAGCCATTGGAAAATGGGAACTTAGTTTAACTGGGCACCAAAGCCTTAGCAAGGATGCTTGATAAAGGCGCAGTGGCCTTCAGGTAAGATTCTCATTTTAGAGAACGTGTTTTATGTGCCTAAAATGAGGAGGAACCTAGTGTCAGGTTATTTGCTTAATACGTATCGCTTTGATGGCTATTGGATCTAATAAGATCATTTCAATGAACAGAGGTATCTTTGTGGCAAAGGGTACACATGTAATGGGATGTTCAAGCTCCATTTGAATAGTAAAATAAGGAACCCTTCCATGTATCTAGTGAGTGTATCCAATTTATGGTATATGCTATATTAGGTCACTTGACTTTGCTTCTATTAAGAACAAGGTTAAAGGGCTTAATCCCTGAATGCAGTGATGTATCTGATGGTAAATGTGAAATCTCAATTCAAGCTAAAATAGTAAGGAAGCATGTCCTTCGGTGGAAAAGAATGCTGATTATTAGGGCTTGTACATAGTCATAATTAGACCTCAATAATACTTTCATAAGATGAGGAAAGAGATACTTCATCACATCATTGATGATTACTCTCAATACACATATGTTTATTTATTCAAAAAATCTAAAATATATAAAGTTGAAGTTCAATATCAACTTGAGAGAAAAATAAAGATTGTGAGGAGTGACTGGGGTGGGGAATATCTATCAAATAGCCTTTTGTGAAAACAACGGGATCATTCACCAAGTCACCACTCCGTATACCCCTCCATAGAATAACTTATCTGAGAGAAAGAACTGAATATTGGTGGAGATGGTTAATGCTATGATCATTAATGCTAGTTTGCTGTTATTTTTGTAGAGAAAAGCTTTACGTGCTACATGTTTTACTCTTTATAGAATTCCATATAAGAAAGTAGAGAAAACATCTTATAAGCTCTGATTGAATAAAAAACCAAATTGAGGTTTTCTCAAAGTATGGGCTTGTTTGGAACTCATAAGATTGCCTGATCTAAAAAGAAATAAATTTGGACCCTAGACCTCTAGATGTGTTTTTGTAGGGGGGTATGCACGAAACACTAAAGCATATTATTTTCTAGAATTAAGTTCTAATGCTATAATTGAATCTAGAGATGTTGAATTCTTTGAGAACTTAACTCATAAAAATGAACTAGAATGTGATGATCATCTTCCAAAAAGATATGAACTTGAAACTTATAATGAACCAATTGAAGAGGTTGTAGAAGAGAAGTAAAAGAGGAAGAAAGGATTCATTAAATAATTTCAAGCCTAATTTTTATATCCCTTTAGTAGAGGCCAACCAACATAATCTTTTGGGTGAAATACTCATGGC